GCCAGCCTGGGCTACCAAGTGAGCTCCAGGAAAGGCGCAAAGCTACACAGAGAAACCCTGTCTCGAAAAACCAAAAAAAAAAAAAAAGAGCATAAGGATGGGCCGAACTGATGGTACCTGCCGATAATTTCAGTGCCTGGGAGGCTGAAATAGGAGGGCTGCTGATTGGCAGCCAGCCTGGGCTACACGAGTCGGTTTCTATCTTTTTCCTCCCTCCAAAAGAGCATCAGGATTCTGGCTGATTGGTTTGGAAATCCAGAATTGCTCTTACCTACGGAGGCTTCCCAGTCTTATCCAGGGCTACTCAGGTTGCGTCAAGGGGGCCAAACTGGTTGAAAGAAACAGCGGAAGAAGGGGTCAAAATACCGATACCTTGCCAGGCGCAGGGGCACAAGCCTTCAAACCCAGAATCTGGGAGGCAGAGGCAGGCAGATCTCTGTGAGTTTGAGGCCAGCCTGGGCTACAGAGCGAGTTTCAGGCCAGCCAGAGCTACAGAGTGAGACCCTTCATATAAACAAACAAACAAACAAACAAACAAAAAAAAAACAACAACAACAACAAAAAAAAACCCACACTCTAGTCCTAGCCCCCTGGCTAGAGCCTGGCAACCCTGGCCAGGTTGCCCCCCCCTCTGGAACTGAGCCTTCTGGTGCTGATTTAAGGCTGGGACTGAGTTTAAGTTGCTGGGATGCTGTTTCACACCTTCAGAGCTCTGCGGTACTTGTTTGGGGCAGCAAACGACCGGAGAGTCGTTCCTCTAAGGAAGCGGAGGATGGGAACAGCTCAATATCTCGTTTCTCGTTTGACAACATTTAGAACCAAGAAGCTAGGTTTCTCAGAGCCCAGCCTTGTGAAGGCGTAAAGGCCAGTTAGCTAGATCCGGCTGTGCAGCCCACACCTGCGATACCAGAAGTGGAGGCAGGAGAGTGAGGAGTTCAAGTTCTTCCTCAGAACTTACATCATGAGTCTGAGACCAGTACAGGGATACATGACCCTGTCCCAAAAAACCAATATTAATTCACTAGGCACATCCTACTCAGGTCAGGGGAGCCATCCGCAAGCATTCTCGGGAGAGAGCCATACCTTGATGACACTGTCCTTGCAGTCCACCACGCGTTCAAACGTTTGGCTGAGGATCTCGATGTCTTTGTGAAGCTCTCTGGTCTTGACTTCCCTAAGGACAGTTCTCCACTGCGTGTTAATCTTATTAAGATTCAGAGCGCTGTTGTGTTCTTCCTTGGCCAGCTTGTCCTGTGTGAGGAATAAACACATCCCTTTCAGCCAAGGGTCTACCTCACTACAGTGGATACCACCCTGAAAAATACCAGCCCTTGTGCATTTTGAAGTAAGTACCAAAGCTCTTGGCAACCGAGACCCAGGGGCTCCTGTTTGTGTTTTTTCGATGAGTTTCCTTCAAGGTGAAACCTCAAAGTAGACTTTCTTTCTTTTTTTTTTTTTTTTCTTTGTTTTTGTTTTTGGTTTTTCGAGACAGGGTTTCTCTGTGTAGCTTTGCGCCTTTTCTGCGACTCACTTCTTAGCCCAGGCTGGCCTCGAACTCACAGAGATCCGCCTGGCTCTGCCTCCCGAATGCTGGGATTAAAGGCAAAGTAGACTTTCTAATGACCCCCCCACTCCACACAGAACATCAGAATTTTCAAGACAGCTGAATTTGGACACTGGACAGCATCCACTGTCCTCATTCCGGAACTCAGTTGATACTTCCGAGCTCTATCCCCCGCTTCCATGCTTCACAGAGAACTCCCTAGGCCGAAAACAACGTTGCCTGTAACCCGTGTATTTCAGGACCAAGGACTTCGGAGGAGGCACGGGCGGGGTGAAAATGAGTGGGGCCACAAGGACCCAGGCAACGGCGACCCAGGCAGCGGCGCCAGCTCATGGGCGCTGGGTTTGGGCAAAACACACTGGCGACAAGCATCACCTTCAAGAACTGGGTGAGAAGCCTCTCTTTCTTCTTGGCCGCCTCCTCCTCTGCCAGCAACTTCTGCTGAAACAGAAGTAGCTGCTCCTCATCCGACAAGGGTACCTTGGACTTTTTTCCTTTTTTAGGCATGGCTGGGCGGCGGACTGGGTCCAGGCAAAGAGCCTCTGCCTGCCGCCACGACCTACTTGTGAGAAATTAGAAGGAAAACGCTCCCATAGACCGGGACCTTCTGGAACTAAGACAATGGAGCCTTAGCTAGACCTCAGTCCTCCGCCGAGAGAGCTCAGGCAGTCGGCTACACCCCGCTGGAGAGCGGAAAGATGCGTCTTGTCTCCTAGCAACAAGGACCTTCGCTAAGACCCGGCCCGTGAGAAATCCCGAGGTGAGCCCTATTTCGAAGCGCCCCCTGCACGCTGGAGGACCGCCGTCAGTCCTTGTGGAGAGGGCCTTTTAGCCTAAAAACCCTAGTCTGTCTGTCTGTCTGTCTCTCTCTTTTAAAAAAGCCTTCAAATATTTTTTTTCTATTTTACTGTTTTATTTTGTGTACGTGCGTTTTGCCTGCATGTATGTCTGCATATACGAGCATTCCTGGTGCCTGTAGAGGCCAGAAGAGGATGCTGGATTCCTCGGAACTGGTCAAGACCACTTAACACACATAATCTATTTTTGTGGGTGGATGGACCAGATTTTTTCTTTTGGGCTACCAACCGGCTCCTAAATCATGACACAGAGACTTATTATTAGTTTTGAATGCTCGGCCTAGCTTAGGCTTGTTTCTGGCTAGCTCTTTTAACTTAAATTAACCTATTTTTCTTTATCTACCTTTTGCCTCTAGTCTTTTTACCTTTCTTTATTCTATATGCCTTTCTTTCCTTCTTACTCTGTGGCTGGCTGGGTGGCTGGCTGGGTGGCATCTCCCTCTCTCTTTCCTATTTTCTCTAGTTCTTCCTGAGCCGAGATTTCTCTCTCCTATTTATTCTCTCTGCCTGCCAGCCCCACCTATCCTTTCTCCTGCCTTACTATTGGCCACCCAGCTCTTTATTAGACGGATCAGTTGCCTTAGGCAGGCAAGGAGAAAGAAATGCAACATATCTTTACATAATTAAACAAAAGCAACATAAACAAATGTAACACACCTTTACACGTTTAAAGTAATTTGCAGCATAAGCAAATGTAACACATCTTTACACGTTTAAAGTAATATTCTGAAGCATAAACAAATGTAACACATCTTTACATAGTTAAAATAATATTTTGCCAGGCGGTGGTGGCGCATGCCTTTAATCCCAGCACTCAGGAGGCAGAGCCAGGTGAATCTCCTCTGTGAGTTCGAGGCCAGCCTGGGCTACAGAGCGAGAGCCAGGAAAGGCTCAAAGCTACACAGAGAAACCCTGTCTCGAAAAACCAGAAAAAAAAAATTCACAACAGGTGGGCGGGTGAGAAGGCTCAGTGGATGAGGGAGTTGCTGCCAAGCCTGATGACCTGAGATCACAACCACCAGTAACTCCAGCTTAAGGAGATCAAAATCTAGCTTTCTGGCCTCAGTGGACACTGTACTCATGTGCACAAACACAGGCATATGCATAACAATTTTTAAATCTTTTTAAAATGGTCTCCTTGGAGATGGAGAGACGGCTCAGAGGACAAGAGACTGGCTGCTCCTGCAGAAGATCTGGATTCAGTCCCCAGCACCCACATGGCAGCTCACAACTGTCCATAACTCCAGTTCCAGAAGATCTGATTCCCACTTCTGACCTCTGCGGGCACCAGGCACACTTGGTGCACATACATACACACAGGCAAAACAGATGCACTTAAAACAAATAAATCTAAAAAATATTTTGAGACAGCATCTCATTGTGTGGTCCTGGATGGCCAGAAACTCACTCTGTAGACCAGGTTGGCCTCAGACTCATAAAAACCCATCTACCTCTGCCTCCCCAGTGCTGGGATCAAAGGTAACACATTACCACTTGCAGCTTAAAAAATTTTTCAAAGCCTACTTTTGAAGGGCAAAATCCTGTGGCTAACAAAAAGAAATACAGCAGGGCATGCTTTCTCTTACATAAACACCCGCAGCCGAAGGAGCCTCAAAGCTCTCAAGACACACACACCGCCACAGCTCAGGCAGCCAGGTGTGTTCTTCTCTGCATGTCCACACCCGAGCCTTCCAAGTTGGCTTGTTTTTCTGTTTAATCCGTGAAGGATCTTTGCTTCACTCTGACTCATCCTGGAATTCTTTTCTGTGGTAAATGTACCCAAGAGGACCCGCAGCAGACGTCCCCATGGCTTTGATGGAGACCTGCTCGGGCTGCCTTGCCGACATCAGTGAGTCGTACTTCTTGCTGGCAGTGACAGTGTTATTCTGAAATTTATATGAGATATTCAGAAAAACAAAGCTACAAAGACAGAAAATAGATAACAATTGCCACCCTAACTGCTCCTAACAAGAAGAGTAGGAGGTGGAGCCCTGGGGAATCGAGGTTGTTTAGACTGTCATGAAGCTGAGTTCCCTTAGTTGGATTAGTGTCCTTAGCAGATAAAGAGACTAGACTGGGAGAAGGCCCAGTACTTAAGAGCACTGGCTGCTCTTCCAGAGGACCCGGGTTCAATTCCCAGCACCCACACGGTACCTCACAACCATCTGACACTTTCTTCAGGCCTCCTCAGGCACCAGGCAAACGAGTGGTGCAGACATACATGTAAGCAAAACACTTACACACCTAAAAACAAACAAACAACTGAATAAATTCAAGAAGAAGAGAAAGAGACAAGTGCTATCTTTTGGGGCCTTTGAATATCCCAGAAGACAGCCTTCCAAGACGGTGGCGGGTCCTTCCTCGACCCCAGCTCTGTCAGCACTGTGTTCTTAGACTTCCGGTTCTCCAGACGGTGAGAAACAAGTGCTTGTTGTTTCAGCCACACTGTGTGGTTGTGTTCTGTTGTAACAGTGTGAACTAAGATGGTCAGGGGAAGGGAGATTAACAGTGCATGTACACAAAGGATCACACGGAATGGCGGAAACGTTCTAAAGCTGAGTTATGCTGCACAGCTTGATATATTTAGTAGGTTTTAAAATAAGACATATTTAGGGGCTGGAGAGATGGCTCAGAGGTTAAGAGCACTGACTGCTCTTCCAGAGTTCCTGAGTTCAATTCCCACCAACCACATGGTGGCTCACAACCATCTGTAATGAGATCTGGTGTCCTCTTCTGGCCTGTAGACATATATGCAGGCAGAATATTGTATACATAATTAATAAATAAATCTTAAAAAAAGACATATTTTGTGTGTGTGTGTGTGTGTGTGTGTGTGTGTGTGTGTGTGTGTGTGTGTGTGTGTCTGCAGGTACCCGCAGAGGCCAGAAGAGGGCATCGAATCCCTTGGAGCTGGAATTAGCAGCGGTTGTGAGCCACCTATGAGTTGAGGACTGAACTGGTCCTCCTGAAGAGCAGTACGCTCTCCCAACCACTGGACCATCTCTCCAGCCTCATAAATTGGGTTTGAAAAGTCATTGAGGATGGGTATGGTAGTGCATGCCTTTAATCTCAGCACTCAAGAGGCAGAGCAGGTGGATCTCTGTGAGTTCAAGGCCAGACTGGTCTACAGAGTGAGTTCCAGGACTGCCAGGGTTATACAGAGAAACCTGGTTTCAACAAACAACAACAAGTCATTGAGGGGTTGGAGCAAATGACTAATGATCATTTATTACTCTTGCAGAGGACTCTGGCTGGGTTCCTCTCTACCACATTACCGTTCCAGGGGATCTGATGCCCCCTTCTGGCCCTTTCAAGCACTATATGCATGTGGTATACATACATGTACGTAGGCCAAACACTCATACATGTAAAAATAAAATATAATAATAATAGTTATTATTATTACCATCATTATTTTGTTTGTTTGTTTGAAGGGTTTCTATGTAGCCTTAGCTGGCTTGGAGCTTGCTATGTAGACCAGGCTGGCCTTGAACTCACAGAGATCCGCCTGCCTTTGCCTCCCAAGTGCTGGGATTAAAGGTGTGCACCATTATACCTGACTGAGTCTTCTTATATACAAATATTCGTAGCAAAATACAACAGCAATACTTTTGATCCTCTGCTCTCTCCGTGGTCTTATGGCCACATTTGGTGTGAGTACCTCCTCCTCCTGCCGGTTCTGCATTGCCCTTGCCTATAATACGCACTTTAGCAGGCTGTGCTTTTTTATCTGGTGAGATTTCTGAAGGATCTGGGCTAGCCATTGTCCTGCCTATAAGCTGTTCTTTTCTCCCTTACCTTAGTCGCAGACAAGGCAGGATTAGGAGAGGCTCTAGAGATGTCCTGTACTCCGGACGTCCTCTTTCTTGCTTACCTCCATCATGGAAGAGGGTAGCAATTTCTCCTTGGTGGAGAAGATGAATCAGTTCCAACAACACTCTAACTCCATTCTTGGTTTGTTGATTCAAAGTCATGAAGAGCTCAAAGTGGCCAAGGCTTAATCTCAACTTCCAGTTCCATAAAATCGTTGAGTATCCCCCAGGGGGAGCATTCCTCCCTAGAGAGAGCTAGGCCAGGGGAGCAGGACAGAAAAGTGTTAGTTAGGGCGTCAGGAGGGTGATGGTGAGTAGCACTCCTCCCAACCCTCGCTCCTCCATTCTTCTCTTCCTCTCTACTTAACCTTCCCTTTCCTCCCCGCCTCATACATTTTCTCTTTCTTTCTCTCTTCCTTCCTTCCTCTCTCCCTCCTTCCCTCCCTCTCTTTTATCCTTTCTTTCTCCTTTCTTAGTTTCTTTCTTTCCTTCTCTCTTTTTTTGAGATGGCATCTCATGTAACCCAGGCTGGTGTCATCGTGTAGCTAAGGATGTCCTTGAACTCCTGATCTTTCTTTCTTTCTTTCTTTCTTTCTTTCTTTCTTTCTTTCTTTCTTTCTTTCTTTCTTTCTTTCTTTCTGTCTGTCTGTCTGTCTTTCTTTCTAATATTTTAGATTTATTTATTACACATACAGTGTTCTGTCTACATGCCAGAAGAGGGCACCAGATCTCATTATAGATGGTTGGAAGCCACCATGTGGTTGCTGGGCATTGAACTCGGTACCTCTGGAAGAGCAGCCATTGCTCTTAACCTCTGGGCCACCTCTCCAGCCCAGAACTCCTGATCTTTCTGCCTCCACCTCCCAAGTGCTACCCCAGTCCTACCTCCTTGTTTCTTGACCCATCAATCCTGGCTCTGGGAGAATCAGCACATATGTTGGCAACTGATCCCCAGCATATACAGCCCTTTGGGGGATTTTGCCTCAGCTCTGCAAGGCATCACTACTTCTCTAGTATCGTAATGGTGTCTTCCAAAGACCACAAAGGCCAAAGACCAAGCCAGCAACTTCAGATCGTTAAGGAACATTATGGGGCCAGTTAATATCATAAGCATTGGTCCATTATCATACTTTGGTTGATCAGAAGTGACACTATGGATGTGATGTCCTCTAAGTCATGGCAGAAGCACTGTGTGCAGGGAAGGCAGATTTGGGCATGCCGTTTCCCGTGTTTATTGCTGTTTGGACATCTTCTTTTCTGCCCAAGCTTTTTGCCCACCTTAACAGCAAGTTTTATATTAGATTTGTAGTTGTTCATTTTCCTTCTTTACATCTTTTGTGTTGCTTGCTTTACTCTCTATTTGTATTTATTTTTGTGTTGTGTGCCTGCTCATACATGCTGCAGGGGACGTGTGGAGGTCAGAGGACAACCTGCAACCTGCCTTTCTATCTTTCTTCTTTTCTCCAGGATTGAACCCACTGCCTTGAATGTGTTAGGCAAGTGCTTTTCCATGGAGCTACATCATCACCAGCTCTCATCTCACGGTCTCTCACGGTCTGATTATACGTTCTTTATCAGTGTAGGTCCCAACTTCTTCCTCCCGCACTAAAGCTTTTTTGTAAACATGTATGTAGTGTGTGTGTGTGTGTGTGTGTGTGTGTGTGTGTGTGTGTGTGTGTGTGTACACGCCACACACTGCACAGGAATGAAAGTCTGAGGACAGCTTTCAGGAGTCGGTCCCAGGACTTGAACCCAGGGACTCGAGCTTGGTGGCAGGTGTCTTTTGCCCACTGAGCCACCTCGCCGGCTCCTAATAGGATCACCTCTTCACGTTCATCTTTTTCACTGTTAACTGAAAATTTTAGTTCATGTGCCATGGATAGCTAGCCTTTCTCTTTTCACCTTTTGTTGCGTGTGTGTGCTGGGGACGGAGCCAGGACCGCCCAGCATCTCCTAGAGAAGGGTTACAAGCTAAGTCATAACCCTTCTGGGTAGCACTTGAGGAGTGTTTTCTTACACACAGTAAGCTTGGTTCCTACATATTTTCTAGAGGCTTTATTGTTCTGCCTTATATAAATATATAATATATATTAGTTTGTGCTATTTTATTAAAACATTCCAAAATGAACAAAAATAGCATCATCTCAATTTTTTTTAATTATGAAAGCTTGGCCTTTGGTGCCTTTTATATTTATACCTGAAACTTAATGTGTGATCTTGTGGTTTGGTCTGTGCCTTGGAGATATTTCCTCGCTGTTCTGCATTATTTCCTCCATCAGGAATCAAGACTGCAGATGTGACTGGGTTTGTGCTTAAGCTCTTTATTCTGTTCCATGTCGGTATTTGTTTATTATTGTACAGCAGCATGCTGTTCCCATTATTGGAGATTTATTGTAGTCGTTGATGCATGCTAGACCAGGAACTCAGCCTCGTTCCTCTCAAAGACCATCTTGGCTACCCTTGGGCTTTTTGAGTCTCACACAAATTCATGCACCAGCTTGTCCGTTTTCGAGCTGTTGGGGTCTGAAGGGAATCACAGTGAACTTCTAGGTAAGTCTGAAGAGAACAGTCATCTACATGAGAATGTCTTCCGACTCAAGATCCTTAGACAGTCCTCTATGAGAGCTCCCTTCATTCCTGCTAATATAGTCAGGTAAGTCAGGGGGGTGGAACACATCCTTAGGACCAGCACTTGGGAGCTGGAGGCAGGAGGATTCAGAGTTTAAGGCCAGCATAAAATTCATAGAAAGCTCAAAGCTATCCTGAGCTACCTAAGGCCCTATCTCAGAGACAAAATAAAAATAGAAGTGCATGTATGTGTGATTACATAGCTTTCCTGTTCAAGTCTTTTTGTTTTTGCTTTGAGACAGGGTGTCACTGTGTAACTCTGGTTGGCCTGGAACAAACTGTTGGCGGGGCTGACCTCAGACTCAGAGGCCTGCCTGTCTCTGCCTCCTGCGCATGGGCCACCACGCTCAGCTATTAATTAATTAATTTTAAGATAGGTCCTTATAGATTTGCCTAGGTAGGCCTTGAACTTCTGATTTTTCTGTTTCAGCCTCTTCTTTTTCTTCTTCTTCTTCTTCTTCTTCTTCTTCTTCTTCTTCTTTTTTTTTTTTTTTTTTTTTTTGGAGCTGAGGAGCGAATCCAGGGCCTTGCGCTTGCTAGGCAAACGCTCTACCACTGAGCTAAATCCCCAAACCTTTTTTTTTTTTTTTTTAACTTTTTTTTTTCTCGAGACAGGGTTTCTCTGTGTAGCTTTGCACCTTTCCTGGATCTCGCTCTGTAGACCAGGCTGGCCTCGAACTCACAAAAATCCGCCTGCCTCTGCCTCCCAAGTGCTGGGATTAAAGGCGTGTGCCACCACCGCCACCACTGCCAGGCCTTGTGAACATGTTTTTATTTGCAGATTCAGTTAAGAGTTTTTGCTCTCACTTTGGTGAAGCCCAGGGGCCCACACTTGAGGATTAACTCCCCAGACCTGAGTTAGAGTCAGCAGTAGACTGCAGGCAACTCTGCGTGGAGGGGGGAGTCTCCACTCTGCGTGGAGGGGCGAATCTCCCCTCTGTGTGGAGGGGGGAGTCTCCACTCTGTGTGGAGGGGGGAGTCTTCAGAGACGGTGTGGCAGCCCAGGGTGGAGGGGCCAGCACAGTTAGAATTTTGGTATCCAAAGAAGAGACTTGAAGAGGAGCAAAGGGCCAGGGAGAGGGCAGTGAGCGCAGCTCTGCACGCTTGAGGACCAGCATTCGGATCCAGAGCACACAGGTAAAACGTCTGCCAGGGCTGTGCTGTGTCTGTAACACAGCGGGCCGAAGCCAGGAAGACCTTCAGCTCTCACTGGCCAGCCGGCCTAGCCACCATGCTGGACTTGCAGCTCACGAGAGACCCTGTCTCAAGGCAAGGAGTGGAGGAGGGCACCCAATGCCCTACTCTGGCCTCTGCATTTCTGAAAATAGGTACACAATCCGATCCACGTGTTCACATTCGTGCAACACACACACACACACACACACACACACACACACACACACACACACACACGCACACACGAGACCAACAAGGAAATTTATGGTTTTCCATTTTTGTTTTCTCCTCCTTTTTTGTTTGGTTTTGTTTTGAGATGGGGAGTCTCACATTCAGGCTGGCTGTGAACACATTACGTAGCTGAATCTAGCTTTCAATATCCTGATCCTCCTGCCTCCACCTCCCAAGTGCTGGGACTACAGGTGTGTACCACCACACCTGGCCCAAAAGGCATTATTATCAAGGAACTAGCCATTTAGCAGCAGAAATAACAAATACCTAAATAATAAATATGCAGAAATAATGTCGAATAACTACATTTTGAGCATTCACTGCGTGCTGAGCGCTGACTTAAGTGTTATGTGCATTACCTAATGGGATTCTTACAACAGCCCTGTGAAGTAAGTGTGGCTATTATTTTTATTTAATAGATGAGAAAAGTGATGCTCAGAGGCGTATAGCTTAAGGCTACGTCAGAAGCTGGTCAGTTTGGATGGCCTGAGGGGGCAGCGTTAACATCAGGAAAGTCAACCATCTTCACAAGGTACATATTCAATAACCTTTGGGACCCTCCCACCATCTCTGTTTATCTCTTTCCCAAACCCAGATTCTTCTCATAGCTTCACAAATCTGCTCTAGGAAGGATGCAGAGGCTCCTGTTTCCATGGTGATGGGGCGGCTGGTACACCGCACGCCAAGTGTAGGCGACGCAGAGAATTGGCTCAGGATCGAAAGGTGTCGGCCGCAGTCACAGCCGGGCCCAGGGAAAAGGGATCGATGAGAAACCAAGTTCTGAGAGACAGGACCTCCCTGGAGCTCCAGAAGCGCCTCCACAGCCGCCTCGCCCTTGCCTCCCGAACTGCTAACCTGGGAGACCCGAACCCTGGGAAGGAAGCACAACCGCCCCTGACTCAAGCCAGGTCGCAGGCTGGAAGCCTGTCCGGTGGGGGGGATCCGTCCCTTCCACCGCCCCTCTGCCTCGCAGCCCTCGGTTCCCGCGTGGGGACCTCAGTCTCGGAGCATCCTGGCTCTCCCCGGGATCGATGGAGCTGAGCAGCCGGCAGGGGGCAGAGTCTCCCTCTGCGGAAGGCGCTCACACCCCCAGCTTCAGGGTTATTTTCAGCTGACAAGCTGCAAAGGCGCAGTCGGAGGATTTCAGGACAGGGGATGGGTGCTGGCAGGGGCTGGGAGCCACCGAAGTGTGGGTCCTAAGCAGTGGGCCCCGCTGAGAAGATGGTCTTTGGGTCACAGGATAGGGGGCTGGAATAACCAATGCTTGACTTCTCCCTCAGTCTTCTTTTGCTATTTTTGTTTTTGGTTATTGGCCGGGTTTTTCCCCCATTGAAAAAAACATCCTAATGAGGGGGAGGCTTACTCATTCATTCAGTAAGTGTTTATTGAGTATACAACTGTTACAGATAGATACAGCCAATCAGAACAAAAATAGAATGCACAAGGATTCTTAACCTCGGCGTGTGTGTGTGTGTGTGTGTGTGTGTGTGTGTGTGTGTGTGCACCACATATGAGCCTTGGACGACAGAAGAGGACATCAGAGTTACAGATGGTCGTGAGCTGCCATGTGGGTGCTGGGAACCAAACCGTGCCCCTCTGGAAGACCAGCCAGTGTGCTTAGCTGACGAGCCATCTTGCCAGACTCTGGAGATCTTTTAAGATCACAAAAAAAAAAAAAAAAAAAGCATATAGATTCTCCCCCAGAAAGAATATACCATGAAATTAAAAACATTTCATATGGCCAGGTGGCGGTGGCGCACGCCTTTAATCCCAGCACTTGGGAGGCAGAGCCAGGTGGATCTCTGTGAGTTTGAGGCCAGCCTGGGCTACAGAGCGAGTTCCAGGAAAGGCACCAAAAAAACTACACAGAGAAACCCTGTCTCAAAAAAAAATAATCCATATGACTTTGGACGCCTCATCAGCCCCTCCCTATCTTGTATGAAATGGCTTATGTTCAATATAAAGAAAATAAAGTATTGCTCTAAGTGCCTACCCAGTACCTGTGTGTGTGTGTGTGTGTGTGTGTGTGTGTGTGTGTGTGTGTGTGTGTGACAGTAGGTTTGGCAGGAGAAAAGACAATGAAAATGGGTCAGTGTTGTGAAATATTATTTTAAAATGTATTTATGATTCATTTATGCTGTGGAATATTTGTTTAATGATGCAAAGATGTGTTGCATTCTTTTATGTTGCCTTTGTTTAACTCTTGAAGCTGTGTTACTTTGCCTGCCTAAAACACCCGATTGGTCTAATAAAGAGCTGAATGGCTAATAGCTAGGCAGGAGAGGGATAGGTGGGGCTGCCAGGCAGAGAGGATAAACAGGAGGAGAAATCTAGGAAAGAGAGTGAGGAGTGAGAAAAGGAGAAGGAGAGGAGGACACCAGGGGCCAGCCACCCAGTCACAGCCAACCACAGAGTAAGAAGGAAAGAAAGACACATAGAGTAAAGAAAGATAAAAAGCCCAGAGGCAAGATGTAGTTAAAGAGAAACAGGATAAGTTAGAAAAACTGACTAGAAACAAGCCAAGCTAAGGCCGGGCATTCACAAGTAAGAGTAAATCTTTGTGTATTTATTGGGGAGTTGGTGGTGGATCCCAAAGAGTAAAAAAACAAAACAACAACAACAACAAAACAAACCAAACAAACAAACAACTACAGGCTGGTGGTGGCGGCACTCACCTTTAATCACAGCATTTGGGAGGCAAAGGCAGGTTGGTCTCTGAGTTCAAGGCCAGCCTGGTCTACAGAGCAAGTTTCAAGACAGCCAGGGCTACACAGAAAAACCAGGGCTTTTCTTTAAAAAGAAAATCAAAAAGAAAAAAGAAGGAAAGGAGAATGGGATGTGGTGGCTTGTTCTTGTATTCCCAGCTACTCAGCAGGCTGAGGCAGGAAGATAAATGCCCAAAGCCAGCTTGGACTACAGTGAGTTCAAGACCAGTCTAGGCAAGAGACCTGGACTCTGTCTCCATTTTTTATGTTTGTTTGTTTGTAGTACTGAGGATGCACCTCGGGTAGAGTGCTTGTTTAGCTGTTAAAGGCATGGGGTTCAATTCCCAGTACCAGAAAAAGAAAGAAGGTGGGGGGGAGGAAGCCTTCTGAGGCTGACTAAGAACTAGTGGGGAGGTACAGAAGTTTGAGGGTGGGGCTGGAGCAGAATCAGGGGTGCTGAAGAGAGCGGTCACTGGAGCTGAAGAAGTGAGTGGTGCAGGGGCAGAGAGGGGTGGATGCAGCTGAAGGACTCTCGGTAGTGGTCATCTGTCTGGCAGAACATGTGAGAGGAGACTGTCTCCTGCCTCCACTCCAGGGCTTGGCCAACGGGTGGGGTGAGACATTTACACACACACACACACACACACACACACACACACACACACACACACACACACACGGCATGGAGCGATCAGACTGGGGTAGACGGCACTTCA